GTGACCAGAGCAGGGGCGTGCACTAGAGTAATCAGGAACCTGCTAGAACCAGTTAAGGCAGGCAGGCTAATTAGGACACCTGGAACCAATTAAGAAGAAGCTGCTAGAATCAATTAAGGCAGGCTAATCAAGGCACCTGGGTTTTAAAAAGGAGCTCACTTCAGTTTGTGGTGCGAGTGTGAGGAGCTGGGAGCAAGAAGCGCAAGGAGCTGAGAGTAAGAGGGTGTGCTGCTGGAGGACTGAGAAGCACAAGCGTTATCAGACACCAGGAGAAAGGTCCTGTGGGGAGAATAAGGAAGGTGTTTGGAGGAGGCCATGGGGAAGTAGCCCAGGGAGTTGTAGCTGTCATGCAATTGTTACAGGAGGCACTATAGACAGCTTCAGTCCACAGGGCCCTGGGCTGGAACCTGGAGTAGAGGGCAGGCCTGGGTTCCCCCCAAACCTCCCAATTGACCTGGACTGTGGGTTCTTCCAGAGGGGAAGGTCTCTGGGCTGTTCCCCAACCCACATGGTGAATCTCTGAGGCAAGAAAATCCACCAATAAGCGCAGGACCCACCAAGATAGAGGAGGAACTTTGTCACACCAGCAATTCCACATTCCCACTAGGTCCTAGTGCCCCTGTCTGGGGTGTCACCCATGGACCCTCCAAGGGACGCACCCAGCACCATGTTTGCGATTAAGTGTATCCCATCCTGTTTCCCCAAGGATTCGCTTCATCTTATTCATCCCCGCAGTCTGAGAGTACACCCCAAACAATTGTTTTGCCACCTGTCTGGGATTAGAAATGGGTGTGCCAGTCCTGCCTCATCGATTCCCAAAAGACTACGCCATATGATCACCTGGACCTCACTAGTTAGACCCTCCATCTCCCTGCCCACCTCCACTAGCCACAGCACAAACTGATCCCAATCATCGTGGGGTACCTTTCCCAAAATGGCCCAGTACTGCCTCCTGGTCTTTCAGGGACAAGAGATGGATTTCTGCCTGTTCTACTACTTGTGGAGCATGGTTCCCCCACCCCGCAACGGGGGCCTTAATTCCTGCCTCCTGCAGTTCCTATAGGGTAATCTCTCTCAGGGGCTGTAACTGTGGATCGCCAGCTTACAATTTCCACTGGCAGTGGTGGGTACAGTGTATTTTCAGGGTAGGGTGGTGGAGGTGTCTCCTTCAGTTCCAGTAGTGGGATGGATGGTTTGGGGTCCCCAAGTTCATTGCCCCCATGTTTACATTGATACAATTCCTCCTCTAAGTCTCCTACTCTCCCCAGCAGTTCATCCCTCTCTCGCCAGATTGCCTCACAAGACTCCTCTGTCCGTACAGTATCTCGTGCCTTCAAATCCGCTACCTCTACCACTAACATGGATTTTTCTGTTAAAATCTGTTGCTGATCCACAGTCCCCTCCGAATCCTTAATGTGTTGGAGGAGATCGGCTTCCCTTTTTACCCAGTATGCCATTCCAGCGCAGAAACCTTATAATACCATTTCCTTTTTCCTACACTCCTTTCCCTTGGGGTCTCCCAAAACCTCCCCCATCTCCTTCTCAATCTCACCTCGGGTGGACCCATGCACCCGGTATGGGCCCTGATTCTTCCTTATCCATTTGTTCAAAAAATCCGTTATCCCTGCTTGCCAGAACCCGCAACCACCATCATGAGTGTTCGCCATACCCCCTCCAAGCAGCTGCATGGACTGTTGGGGAGGGGGATTTACAGGCTGCCACTCACCTATCTGATGCGATGTATCTGAGTCACGGCACCAAGATGTTAGAGGGCTTATTCCTTCACCTTCCCACTTCCCTGGTTCTTCTCGCATGAACAGAGAGCAACAATACCCGAAGTCCGAAGGTGCAAACAATTCGATGTTTATTGGGGTGAACTTGAAGCAAGCTTTTGTACGCTTTCCAGCTTATGGCTGCTCCCACTGCTTAGCCAAAGGCCTTAGCGTAGGAACAGGGTCTCAGACTGTCACAGTGAGAGAAGGCCCTTACACAGGCAGACAGTGATTTTGATTCTTTCTTTTATACCTCTATAACTAGCTAAATGATAAACATATACCTAAATTCCTAAAGTATACGCCTTTACAGACAGGCCTGAAAATCTATATCCTAACATATTATTTCTTTTGTTTATTGTTTTTATAGTGCAAATATTTGTGATAAAAAATAATATTAAGTGAGCACTGTACATTTTGTATTCTGTGTTGTAATTGAAGTCAATATATTTGAAAATGTAGAAAAACATCAAAATTATTTAATACATTTCAATTGGGATTCTATTGTTTAACAATGCGATTAAAACTGTGATGAATCGTGATTAATTTTTTTTATTAATTGTGTGAGTTAACTGCGATTAATCGACAGCCCTAAATTTTATGTTTATTATACCAAAAGGCTAGTGTAGACTGAATTTAGCCTGAGAGGGCTCAGTTGAGTAAAATTTATTCACTGTGGCCCCGATCCATCAATGACTTGTGCACCTGCTGATCTGTATGTATATGGTTAGTTGCACTATTCATGTGCATATAAATCTTTCTTCAACTTTGCTGATCCCCCTCAATCAGATTAAATTAAATCTACGCTGACCTAGTGAAAATAAAATTATTAGAAAACATCATCACATGATCCATGTCTCCTGATCTGAAAATACCTTAACTTCAATGGGACTACTAGTCTATGTAAAGCTAAAATGGTATCTAAGTCTTTTTGTCAGGATCAGGGCCCATAACATGATTAGCTTGCAACAATCTTATTTGATTAAAGATAATACCTATGATAACTCATTAAATTAGTGACCAGTTTATCCATGAAAGTTGTGGGGTTTTTTTAAGTATGCTATAGTTTTCTAAATACACTATTTTTGATTGGGTGAAAGTTAGTTAGAAAAGTAGAGTATACTGTACAGCTGGCTTCAATTGAATAGTGTAAAAAGCAGTTCGGGGAGATTTGCTCAGTATATGATTGGCTGTTTGAGTACTAAAAAAGGTAGTTAGGAAATGTTTATGAAGTAAACATCATCATAGACTCTGAGCAAGAAATATGCACATTTTAAGGAGCCCCCTTCATCAACTTTTTTCAAAGTGAATATTGTCTCAGTTCACTAATATTAAAAGTCAAGCACAAACTACAATGTTTTGCTATAGTTACATTCAATCTGTACTAGCCAGTTAGGGGATTGGACAACTGATAATTATTTTATCATCAGCTTTCAGCTCTCAGAATATACTAAAGAGGTATGATAAATAATTGTGGTTAATGTATTTCTTTTAGTGTCAGAAAAAAGAAGAATTCATTGAAAGAATCCAAGGTTTAGATTTTGATACAAGAGCAGCTGTTGCTGCCCACATTCAAGAGGTATTTGTTACTTTTGTACTACCTGATGTCCAAGTGATTTTCATTTTTGCTGTTCTGGAATATTAAGGAAAGAATAATTTTATTTAGTCAAAAACAAGGGAAATCTATTTGACATTCACATTAATGGATTATAGTAGAGAACGTTAGTTGAGAAGGCTTTATTTTATACAAGTGAGCGTAAATCACATTTCTTATTAAAGGTGGTACTTTAATAAAAACATTTTTTTCATACTGAATAGTTTTTTCCATCACAGAATCATAGTAGTGTAGCTCTTGATGGGATCTTGATAGATCATATACTCCAGTTCCCTGCACTGAGGCAGGAGTAAGTATTATCTAGACCATTCCTAAGAGGTATTTGTCCAAACCAGGGGTGGCCAAACTGCAGCAAACTTTTTTACAGTTAAAGTACGGCTTGCGGAGCCCCCCACGCCTTCCCCATTCTCTGTCTACCAGACTGGGGGGAGGGGGGAGCTCGGGGCTTCTGCCCGGTGGTGGGGCTAGGGGCTTCTGCCAGAGACAACTGGTGCCTGCTGAGAGTGAGGGGGCATAATTTAAAGGTTTGGCACCCCCAACAGCTTGAATTATGCCCCACCTCTTATCGTCAGTGGCCCCTCTCTGCAGCTCCCAGGTGTTAGCTTCGTGTGGAGAGGCAGCGGCAAACACCTGGGAGTTGCAGGGAGGAGCTTTAGCTTTAGCTTTACGGGGAGAGCCAGCAGCTCTTCCTGCCGCTCCCAGCTGTTTGCTGCTGCCTCTCCCAACTTGCTGGATCCAGCAGCTGCTGTGCAGGGATCGGGCCGGCAGCACCATGTGGCCTAGCCAGAAAACCCTGGCAAAAATCTGGGGGGAGCGGCATGTGATACCACATGCCTCCCCCCACGCACTGCCTCTGGCAGAATGAAGTGTGTGTGTGGGGGGGTGTCTTGGGGCTTCAGCCCCAGCTCTCGAACTTCTGAAGATTGCGATATGTTGCTCAGAGGGTTGGTACGTTTGGCCATCCCTGCTGTTCTTAAAAACCTCCAATGACTGAGATACCATAAGTAATTTGTTCCAGTGTTTAACTATCCTTACAGTTAGGAAGCTTTTCCTGATGTCTAACCTTGACTGGGCTTAAATTGCAGCAAAGGAGATTACTTTTTGTGCTGTCCTCAGTGGATATGGAGAATAATTTATCACTCCCCTCTTTATGACAACCTTTTATGTAGTAGAAGACTGTTATCATGTGCCCCCAAGACTTCTCTTCCCAAACTAAACAAACCCAATTTTTTCTTCGAGTAGTGTCCCTATGGGTGCTCCATGGTAGGTGTGTTTGTGTCCCTGCACTGCTGATCATAGAACTTCAGTAGTAGTGTCCATTAGGCCCACACATGCGCTGTCTGTTTCCCCTTGTGCTGAGCCAAGAGGCTAGCCAGCACACACGGGCTAAGCCTCCTCAGTTACTTCTTAACTGCCCCTTGCTAGAGATGGAGTCTTGCTTTATGCACTTTTATATAGTTATTTTGTTAGTATATTATAGTTTATTGTTCTTTACCCTCTTATTGTATCCCCCCCCCAAAATAAAAACAAAACAAAACTCCCCCCAAAACTTCATTTTCCTGCTTTTTTCCCCTTCTAGGGATCCTTCCCCCACCCCCACGCCTCCAGTGGGCATACCCAGTTTACCAGGTTTCAAGAAGCGCCTCACTTGCAAGGAGGCAATTCCGATTGCAGACAAGCACTTTTAAGTGCATTTGTCGCCTTGGGGAGGGCCATATCCAGAAAAAAGTGTAGTCTCTGCCAGCAAATCTGGCCACATTCCCATAAGGACAGACTGCTCAGGCAGAAGATTATTTTAATGGAGGCCGCTCAGACCCGTGCAGAACTTGCGCCGCAAGTCCCTGGATAGACATGAATCTTCTCCACAGCCGTCTAAGGGCTATGGATCGAAGAAACAGACTGCTGACCCCTCTCAGAAGTCAACTTAGAGGAGAGCGGGAAGTCCCCAAAAGTGCGCCCTGAGATCTCCATAGGCAATCTCCATCTCGCTCGGTATCTTCAGCACCAAGACCATCTCAGTGCAGCACTCATGGCTCACAGAGACCAACAGCAGTCGATACTGTTGACATGCCCACGGACCTGATGGGCACAGGCACTGAGTCATCGGCACCGAGAGACAGGAGTAAGCACTCCACTAAAAAGGCACCCTCAATACGTGAATCATCGTCGGTACTATCATCGATGCCTCACCCAGCACCAGAGCAAGTGGTATGGACAAGACCGCCATCCGCCTCTGATACCTGACACTGGGGCAGTCAGTACCAATGGAATTCTGCCAATCCAGCAACCTCCATATATCCGATGTACCGGGATCCCCGCTTCTTGGTACTGCGACCTCCGCACTGAGCCTCCGCTTGGCATGGGATTCGTCACCGCTGCCAGGCCTCACTCCCCCACTCTCTAGCGAAAGTTCAGACAGTGAGCTGGAGGAAAGAACATCCCAGTACTCTTCTCAGGCTCCATATGGTGCTCAGTACCAGCAAGGCCCATACCCGCAGATGTCCCCACCACCGACATCATGGTACAACTACCCATAGGCACTGCCACCATGCTCTATGCCACCATCACCCCCGTGGTCTTATTGGGACTCATGGGAAGCATACCGCCAACATGCCTCTGAAGCTTTGAGCCTCGCCCGGGAACCCTCAAGGCATACCCCTTCAGCCACGGCTTCCTGAGCTTTGGAACCTCCACAAGACATCATGGAGAAACAGGAGGGTGATGCCGAGGAAGAGGTGGCCCTGAGGTCTTCCTCTTTTCCAGACCATTATGCCTTCACCACCATATCTGCCAGACGACTTTTATCTCTTCCAGCATCTGGCAAAGAAGGTGATGGACACCCTCAAGATACCATTGAAGAAAGTCAAGGACACCCACCATCAGCTCTTTGACATCCCCCACTCCTCGTCCTCCTCCAAGATTGCCCTCCTGATTAATGGGACTGACTATCTTAGACCCAGCGAGAACTATATGGCATATCCCAGTGACAGTATGTGCGACCTGCAAGCGAGTGGACAAAAAGTACTATGTCCCCACGAAGGAATCTGAATTCCTCTTCTCCCACCTACCCCCAACTCCATTGTGGTGGATGCTGTCAAATCAGGCGGCTGACGACATGAGTCGAGGGCTACTCCGCAAAACTGAGATTGAAAGCGTCTGGACCTTTTTTGTAGGAAGGTGTACTCCTTGGCTATATTCCAATTCCATATCACCAACTATCAGGCCCTTACAGTGAAATATGATTATATTAACTATTCAAAGTTGAATGACTTTATTGACCAGGTGCCAGAGTCACATCGTGACCAAGGCCTGGTCTACACTGGGGGGAGGCGCGGGGATCGATCTAAGATATGCAACTTCAGCTACGAGAATAGTGAAGCTGAAGTCGACGTATCTTAGATGGAATTAAAATTACTTACTTCGCGTCCTCGTGGCACTGGAGTGATGGCCGTGGCTCCCCCGTCGACTTTGCTTCTGCCTCTTGCACTGCTGGAGTTCAGCAGTCGACGGGAGAGCGATCGGGGATTGATTTATCGTGTCTACACTACACGCGATAAATCGATCCCCAATAGATCGATTGCTACCCGCCGATCCGGTGGGTAGTGTAGACGTACCCCAAGTTAAGGCCATTATATAGGAGGGACAAGTAGTGGCATGGACAACGCTGCAATTTGCCCTCAACGTTGCTGACAAAGCAGCTAGCTTAATTTCCATGGCGGTGGTGATGTGATGAGCATCGTGGCTTTATCTGTCAGGTTTCCTGGCAGTCTACTGTTGAGGACCTCCCCTTTGAGGTCACAAAGCTCTTTGGAGAAGATTAATGCTTCCCTTCATACCCTGAAGGATTCCTGGGCTACATTCCAGTCGCTGGGTATCTACATGCTGAGACAAAAGAGGCAATTTAGTCCCCAATCCCAGCATAGACCATATACATCCCAATATCAACCTCAATGACAATACGAACTGCCAAGGAAGAAAGCAAAATTCCCTGAGCAGAAACCATCTGTCTTGCAATCTTTGTCATCCCAGCCTTCTATGTCCAAACATCAGTTTTGACAGGTGGGTCGAAGCGCTGCTGCACCACTCCCACCAATTGATACAGCCGACCAATTCTTCACACCCATTTGACCACCAAGTGTCAGTATTCTGCAGTGCCTGGAATCACGTAACATTGCACTGATCAGTCCTAGAGATAGTTTGAACTGAGTACTCCATCCATTTCACCTCCCTACCCACTCCACAACACCCTTCCCTGTCTCTCTTCAGGGACCCTTCACGTGAGTTTAGAACGACAAGTCAATAATCTCCTCCAGTTAGGAGCCATAGAACCAGTACCTCAACCTCTACAAGGATTCTATTCTCTTTATTTCCTAATAAAGAGATTGGAGACCCATACCAGACCTCAGAGCTCTCAACAAGTTGGTCTAGGCTCAAAAATTCAGAATGGTCACTTTATTGACAATCATTCCAGCACTGTAACAGGGAGACTGGTTTTTGGTCTTTGACCTTCAGGGCGCATACTTTCACATCTCTATCCTACCGGCTCACAGATGATTTCTCAGATTTATCCCGGAACAAGACCACTATGGATACATAGTGCTCCCCTTCGGGCTATTGTTGGCCTTGAAAATATTGACCAAGGTTCTCTGGGTGATAGCCACTCACGCTTTCAAGGGATAAAGATTTACCTTCACCTCGATGATTGTCCCCTCAGAGCCCAATCTCTCCAGGAGGCTCACCGAGTCACCAAAGCACTTATTTACAGAGCTGAGCCGTACAGATCAAAATCCAGAACTCAGCTCTCACTCTGGTGGGGGTTTCCCCAGGTGGATCTCTTCGCCACCAAGGACAACAGCCAATGCCCTCAGTTTTGTTCATTCCAGAACCTCAGCCTGGGCTCAGTGGCAGATGCCTTCACAATTCCGTGGGGTGGGAGCTTGAGGTATGCCTTCCCACCATTCCCG